CCACACCCAAAAAAGCCTATGAAAGGTACCAGGGGCATCTCATGGGGCCTACAAAAAAGGGGGGTTGTGAAAAGAGATTCACAGAAAAGCGGCTACATAATGAACAGAACGTGACACTAAGGGAATAATTTCCAAAAATTATGCTTTATTACACACAAATGAATATGACATATGGGCATTTGCCCTGGTTTACCATCACCTCAGTATGAGACAATACACACAGACCTAAAACCATTTAAAATGACACAAAAACCGGTCTAAATGTATGTGTAGCAGGGAAAACTTAAAGTACGAATAGGTGAACATCTTAGAGATATTAGATCTAATGAACCTGATAGTAATCTTGCCCAACATTACGTTAAATATCATGGAGGCAAATTGGATGGTACGAAAGTGAAAGGTTTCTATGCACTGCACTTTCCACAGAGGAGAGGTGATTTTGACAGAGAACTGCTTAAAAAAGAAAAATATTGGATATATAAACTTGATACATTGCACCCTAAGGGGTTAAATGTGGAATGTGATCTCCAAGTATTTTTGGAAAAATAGCTACAGCCATGTACTTTATTATTGCCATGTGGTGGTTAATTTGTGGGATTTTTGTTTTCACTAATATGTTACTTAAATCCTTAAAAAGTATGTATGTATATGGAAACAACTAAAACAATATGGAAGATCTCAAGTTATGAGTTTAAATATAGCTCCAAACCATATGTATCAGGACGGTATTTTGAGCTAACTTCTTTCTTTCTTTGTACCTTTTTTCTTTAATAATAATTATACCATAGGATGGATATTTAAAAATTGGGGTATTTCTGTTGAAGTGACCCTTAATGAGAATTTTCAGGTTATATTGCCATCTTGTGGCATATTATGGTAATTCAGAGGGGTTTCTCTGATAATTTGATTCAGTGGATAGACTTGTTGATTCTCTGATTAATATCGCCACCTTCTGGTTAGAATGTGATGGGTGCTTTAGTTGACGAATATATTTAATTCATGAATTTTTGATCAATATATGTATCGTCAAAATTGCTAAAGTCTCTCCCCTCTCTGTTGTCTCCGGATATCTGTTTTTTAATTTTATTCAATAATAACCAGCAGCTGTGCTAAGTATTTAGCCCTTTCTTTCTTCCATTAGGAATAACTGCAGGTTGGCTTTTTGCATAAATGGGTGGGTCTTTACCCACTATAAATAGGAAATTGAAATGCGGTTGTTTCATTGGTCCTGACGAAGCTGAGTGAGATACGCCCATCGGCGAAACGCGTTGACGTCATACGTCAGATACGTCACTTCCGGTCATGCGCACTAGGTGGAACGCACGCTGACCCATAAGGAGGAAGCCATCTTCACAAGCCATGAGGCAAGCCTAAGCAGCACAAGCGCCAAGAAGGGGCTGGAACCCGCGGTATATCGGCGGATGTCAGCGGTGGTTCCTTGGCCGCCTTGGCCCTGTATGGCAGTACCTATGAAGGATTTCTCTTTCATTCCCGTTATCCACAGCACAGGTGGTGAGTGGATTGTTGCAGGACATTAGATATATGGTCCTCTGTGATCTATATGACCTATATATCTTCTATAGAGTGTGAGCTCTGTCAGTGACTTCCCACATATTGTTTGTTTCACTACAGGATGGGGACATCATGGTGCTTTGTATAGGAAACAAGATATACCATATATATTTCAACAGGCAGAAGAGTCTTTGGGATGTGTCTTGTTTTTTCCTACAAAAAGTGGTGTATAGTCCACATGTAGTGGTGAAGAAACCATTTCAAGCAGAGTGCTGCTGTGTGCATCTTTTCTTCCATCCTGGAAATAAATGGGGCATATTCCCATCCAAGAGCTCTAGGAAACAGCTATCTATATTATAGATGAATGGGCCCCAACCACTTGTGCCGGCACAGGAATGTATTGTACAATATATTTGACATTTATGTCTTCCTTCATACAGGTCTGAGGCCTGCTACTCTCCTTTTTGACGCATATTGTGCTTGCTCCATTGCATACATGTGATATATTTACAGCATAATTTTTTGGATTTCTTGATAGGGATTTGCCATTATGGTTACTGTTTAATCCCTTATATCCTCTATTATGGTATGCCCATGGCATAATTTTTGGATACACCTCCCTAGGGAAGTGTTCACCTGTGTGTCTGTGTTGCAGGGACACTAGACTCATGTAGCCATTTTCCCTGCTACACATACATTTAGACCGGTTTTTGTGTCATTTTAAATGGTTTTAGGTCTGTGTGTATTGTCTCATACTGAGGTGATGGTAAACCAGGGCAAATGCCCATATGTCATATTCATTTGTGTGTAATAAAGCATAATTTTTGGAAATTATTCCCTTAGTGTCACGTTCTGTTCATTATGTAGCCGCTTTTCTGTGAATCTCTTTTCACAACCCCCCTTTTTTGTATGCCTCTTTTGGCTACTGAATGGAGACCATACATTGGGTGACACGTTAATGTATTTAATAACCTCTTTAATAACTATCTTAGTATATGCATCTCATGGGGCCCCCTACTGACCCCAGGCCCTCGGGCACTGCCAGAGTGCCTGAATGGTCAGTCCGCCCCTGATACTGTATATATATATCGGTGAGTAAGTAGCACATTGTTAATTTTATACAGCAGTACTGTAATTTAGATTTACCCTTTAACTTATTACGAATGAAGTTGGTTTGGTTGCATTGTGTACTATATAGTAGTAAAAAGAACACTTTAAAAAGATTACACGTGATCTATGATTTATGTACATGCAATCTATATTTGCAAAATGAGAAATAGTGAAAAGATTTATTTTTGTTGATATAAGAATCAGTATAATTGTATATGTATGGATCTAATTCAAATATTGAAAATGTGAATAATTTTCTTCACTTTTATTGCTTTAATTTTTTTTTACTCTTTGTCACATATGGAATGACATTTATAGTGTATCAAAAGTAGTAATTTTCCTGTACAATTAATTTTAGCAATTTGGGGAAAGCAGAGTTAAATTATCACTTTTTAAAAAATATACTGCTTGCTCCTGTTTATGGGAACAGCATGACCCAGTGTGTGTGAGAATGATCCAAGTTTAGGAACAAAGAGGGCCAAGAAAATGACAGTGATATTTCTTTACTGTAACAGAGGTTACTCTTAGCTCTGCTTCATCTCTCCAGAGCAAGATGTTCTTCTGTATATATTACATTTTTTACATTTTAGCTCTTTATCAAAATATCTATTGCTTTACTGAAATCCAAAGAAAAAAGTGGACCCTGCAATAAAGATATTTAAAGAGTAACTCCAATTTTGTTGAGAAAAAAAAACATTTCTCTCTGGGTGATCTGTGTACATTGCAGGGATTTTGACAAATTTGTAGCAAATTCTTACCCTTTGTTATTCTGAAGAAATAACTGTTTGTCTGAGTCCATGTGCAAAATGAATGTGTCTGAGAGTGATATTATAATTATCAATCAGCTGCTGCATTTGCAGGGTTCAATGAGGAAAGTGGCAAAGTCTGCATGCCCTTAGATGTGATTTCCCTTTGTGTGTATGTCAGGCAAAAATGACATTTTAGTTGCAGGGGATGCCCAAAATCTGACTTCAGATTTTCAGTGCAGATCTATGGGAAAATCAGTAAGCCAATCACACAAGCAGGTAATGACATTTCTGTGGGGCATTCTGTACACCATCTGTGTATAGAACACCTCCAGGTTGCTATATTGCATTGCATTATTTTAAGAAAATTACAGAACTGCAGATTGAAATGAAAAGGTAATTTTTAAAAACATTCAAATACAATATGACTTGTCTTGCAAGTGCACATGCTATGTTATTTTTTTATTTGCTATTTTTTCCAATGAAAGCGGAGTCACCCTTTAATACTCATTTCTCCTTCTGCCCACATCACTAATTGCTCCTGTATTCCAAAGAAATTTTCTTCTCAAGAATCCTTTGAATCTGACACTTCTGAGAGTGTCAGATACCTAGAGCCCCCATTACCTGTGCATTGGTTAAAGTATATTACTTTTCCATTGACACTGTGAAAATAGCTCAAATCAATTTACTGTTCTACTGCAAAGATGCAAGGGATCTTCTAAAAAAAATCTGATAAAAAGAATTTATCAAAAAAAGTTCTGAAATATAACTTTATGAGCGAATAAGGGAATAGCCTTATCTATTCTGAAGACACAGACAGTGAGAAAGCAAAGTAACTAAATATAGGTGAACTGCAATTTAATCATGATGCACAATATGTGCAATAGTTATGAGACTCCCTTTTGACAGGCTTCACCCAATATGACTGTCATTTCATAGCAATTATTGGAATAAACTGCATTAAATGTACTTGTTGTTTTCAACTATATTTGTTCATAGAACAAAAAAAAGTACTTACTGTGCTACAATAATTAATGTAATATCCTACATGTACAAATAATGGTTTCATATGTTAAATTACAGGAATATATCATTGTGAGTCCTGGACATTTAACTTTGCTGTCATACCCTTACTAACATAGCTGAGACAAGTTTGCATATCATTTAATACATATACCTCTTTAACAAGAGTGAACAGTACCAGGGGCGGACTGACATCTCATGGGGCCCCTGGGCAATAAGGGATCATGGGGCCCCTGTTTCCTTGCCCACACCCAAAAAAGCCTATGAAAAAGCAGATGAAAGGTACCAGGGGCATCTATGGGGCCCCCTACTGACCCCGGGCCCTCGGGCAGTGCCCGAGTTTCCAAATGGTCAGTCCGCCCCTGAACAGTACACAAAATAATAAGCATGGCCTTTACCATACTACTGTATATTAAAACACTTGACCTCCAGAAGGTTTTCCCCCTGCATGACCAGGGCAATTTTTGCTATTCAGAGCTGTGCTATTTTAACTGGCAATTTCTCGGTCATGCAACACTGTACCCACATTAAATTGATATCTTTTTTTTTCCATAAAATAGACATTTCTTTTTTGGTGGTATTTGATCATCAGTTTTTTATTTTTTTAATAGAAAAGTGACATATCCAATTAAAAAAGTCAAGATTCTTCATAAATGTAGGCCAAACTGTATTCTGTTACATGTATTCTTTTTACATGAAGTGAATATTTACCCATTTTTATATATAATTTTATTTAGTCTGAGCTGATGATGCCACTGGACCAGGGGCGGACTGACCATTTGGAAACTCGGGCACTGCCCGAGGGCCCTGGGTCAATAGGGGGATCATGGGGCCCGTGTCCTTGCCTAAACTCAAGTTTAAGCTAGGAAAAGGGGCCCCAGGGACCCCTCATGGGGCCGGGGGCCCCATGAGTTGTCAGTCCGCCCCTGCACTGGACATCTTCCAATTCAAAAGGGAAGGCATCATGATATTCTTATCTGCTGCACCAAGTTTCTATGGCCAACCACTGAGCTTTCAGCTCTTAGTGCTGCTTCTTTCTTTGTGTTTCTGCTAAAGAATTTGAACAGTATATCTGGAAACACGTTTTCTTTGAGATTTCTGCCAGTGAGAGACCTTGTTGATGCAGTAAGACCACCCTGTGTGTTGTTGCTTTACCCAGGCTGTTGTTGTTGTGTGAGGTGTATTACACTGAATTGCTATTTTCTCATGGCTTTATATAACAAGGTTTCATTTCTCCATTCTTGTTGATTTAATAATTGCATTCCAACCTACCTGTTAGCTTGTTGCTCATTAGCATCTGTTTGGTATAAATGTATAATTATGCAATGGACCTGCACAATCCTTAAGGCTAGGTTCACACTGCTGCAGTCCAATTATGATCCAACCTTCAGTGCAATTATGTAGTGCAACTTGGATGCAACATGGATAAGGTTTGTATATTTTCTGTGGCCAAATTATTTTTGGAATTACACCAAAGCATTACAGGAACTATTTCCAAAATGGCATTGTGCTGAGTTGCATTGATGTGAACAGGCACCCTTGAAAACAATGCGATTTCATGTGATTCTGTGCGGCTCAAGTATAGAGATGGAAAGGCCTGGGAAAAAAAAGTGGAAACATTGGGGGAAAATAGTTTTTACGTTTTTTCAAAGCTTTTTTGGGTGTTTTTTTTACGTAAAAAATGGGAAAAAAAGAAAAAAGTGTGGAATATGTTCTTTTACAATGATAAATTATAGATCTGTGACATGGTATTCAAACTATAGAACATGAAGACCTCAATGAAAGGTTTCTGAGACTTTATGTAAAGTCTTAAGTTGTTGTAAATTCTCTCAGCTGAAGATAAGCAAATCCTGGAATACAATTCAAGTAACACTACTTCTCGATGCAGTTCTCAAACAAGAGAAATATGAAATTCTGCCTCTAGGGTGCACTGCAGGGAAAATGCGCCAGTTTCGTTTGCTTCTGTGTTCCATCTTATATCTCTTACTGTTGGGATTCAATAGATAATAGTTTAATAGTTTCTGTCCTCTCAAGCCTTAATTGACAGATAGGAGGGTAAAGCTTTCTAACAAATTGATTTATCTTTTTATTGTTAAATGATTTCTATTAATGTTATCCACCATCACAGCATAATGTTTACCTATAGTCTGGTCAGTAAATTGTTTTAAATTTTTCTCCTCTCAGTAAAATAGTGAGACCAACATCTAGAGTTTGGAAACATTTCAACAGTGCAATTTCTGCTGAGAGCAAAGCTGCAATCTGTAAATATTGTGTGTGAGAAATAATTTATTTATTATTTTCCAAATGCTACAAGAATGACAAAACACATCCTAGCATGCCAGAGGTACCCTAAAGACATTAACATATACTTTATGGAATGAAATGATGAGGACCGTAACAGGGGCGGACTGACCATTTCGAAACTCGGGAACCCAGGGTCAGTAGGGGGCCCCATGAGATGCCCCTGGTACCTTTTTCATAGGCTTTTGTGAGTTTGGGCAAGGACACAGGGGCCCCATGATCCCCTATTGCCCGGGGGCCCCATGAGTTGTCAGTCCACCCCTGGACCGTAATGAAAGTGCAAGTAGCTTTTCCCTCCATAGTTCTCTTTCTATAAATACTTTTTGCTGCTTCTGGATCATCAAAAAGTGTTTCTTCTCCAGCAGCATCTTCAAGGAAGTGTTGCAAACCACTGCCTCCAACACAATACCTTGATTTATAGATAAAATGATACCTGAGAAGCAGGCGAACATAGATCAAGCTCTTCATAGAGCAATATATGCTTCTGGATCAGCATGGTTAATAACTGAAAATGCATATTGGCAGGAAGCTTTTAAATTATTATGGGGGAAAGGGAGGTGATTACCTGTTCTCATGTATAGCTGAAATGTTCTCAATGCATACAGTCCTTGTTATTCCATTTGTAATAAAAAATACAACTTTAAAAAGCAAGTATTGTTTGTTTAATGAATTTACTGAATAAGCTGTTTTATTTCAAGCATAATACTTTTATATACACTGCATTTCACCTTCCAGTGTAACGGAATGACTTTCAATTTGTAAAACTACTCCACACTGAATTTTTTTTATAGTTTTTACAAAATGCTCATTTTTTTTGCTGAAACAAAACAGGGAAAATTTTTTCCCATGGCTTCAAAATTTCCATAAATTTTACAGCTATACTTGCATCTGAAATCACTCTAGTGCGAACAAAGTCTAACTGTGTGCAAGTGTACTTGGGAGAACTGATTCTGTTTCAAAGGCAAAGGGTAGATACATCAAATTTTAATTTGATTTAGGATTTTTTTCTGATTATGTACTTTGTAAGTTGTTTATTGATAACTAAAAAAAACCTTTTCATTTCATATTTTTTTTTTAAAGCATCCTTTACCATACAGCCTAAAACATTTGCACAGTTCTGTATCTTACATCTATAGATTGCTTTCTTAGTAGAGGTGTTTCTGGTAGCTGTTCTGGAATTAGGCATTAAAGATCAAAGATGGTTGAAGCATGGCACCTGATATTATGGTAGTGTTGGCTATATGACAACTAGGGTTGAATGAAATTGCTTGTTTTCACTTTGCCAAAATTTCAGAGAATTAGGTCATTTAAGTGATATGGTGGTTTCAAGAGCACAATTAAATGGTTCCTGAAGGTTATAATTCATATCTATGTGATGAGCAATACCGCATTGCACTTTAAGCCCTTATGCACACTTGACGTTTTGATAACGCTGCTAACGTTAGCTGTGTAAACTCACATTAAAATTTGAGTTTTTCAGTTTTAGCGTTTTTGCATTAGCCACGTTTCCCCATGTTTTTCCGCGTTTGTGCTTTTTATCTGTTTTTTTTTTTACCAAAAAAACACTTTTTTTTTGTAAAATAAATCCAAAAATGCCGGTTTTACCATGTTTTTCAGCATTAGAGTGTTTTTATAGCTAAAAAAACTCCTCTAGAAACCTACTTGTTCTGGGGGGTTTTTTCCAGCCAAAAAACATCCCAGCCAAAAAACGCTGATTACAGTCTATGTGTGCATGGACACATAGAATAACATGCTGGGGGGTTTACTAGCTGTAAAAAAAACCATCAAAAGCCAAAAACAGCAGCTGTAAAAACGTCAAGTGTGCATGAAGGCTTACTCATAAACTTAAAATTCAATCCACAGTGCACAAACACAACTAACAAAAAAAATTCTGTTTTCTGCCACGTATTATTTTTACCGTATATACTCGAGTATAAGCCGAGTTTTTCAGCACATTTTGTGTGCTGAAAAACGGCCCCCTCGGCTTATACTCAAGTCAACGTCTGCAGATGTCTAGCAGGGGGCGCTGCTTCTAAAGCAGCGGTTCTCAACCTGTGGGTCGTGACCCCTTTGGGGGTCGAACGACACTTTCACAGGGGTCGCCTAAGACCATCGAAAACACATATTTCCGATGGCCTTAGGAACCGAGACACCGCTCCTCTATCCGTCTCCAGGTGTGGGCGGGATGACATGCCGTCCCTGTCATCTGGACACACCCCCGGGATCAATCCTCGCCGGTGATTGGCCGCCGGAACTGTAGCTCAGGAGAGGCACACAGGCGCCCAATCATCGGCGAGGAGGTGGAGCTTGGAGAGGAGGAGCCGAGCGGCACCGCGAAGATCGAGCGAGTGAAGAGGAGGAGAGCGGCCGGAGAAGGAAGACATCTGACCGGTACGTGTGTACCATGGGAGAGGGAGGGAGCGAGCGAGCCCACGCTGGAGCAGGGGTCAGCAAAGTAAGTATCATTGGTGTCAGTGGGAGGAATAGTGCCCAATCATTGGTGTCACTAATACCAACTATGGGGCACTATTACTCCCCCCACTGACACCAACGATAGGGCACTATTCCTCCCCCCACTGACACCAACGATGGAGCACTATTCCTCCCCCCACTGACACCAACGATGGGGCACTATTCCTCCCCCCACTGACACCAACGATGGGGCACTATTCCTCCCCTCACTGACACCAACGATGGGGCACTATTCCTCCCCCCACTGACACCAACGATGGGGCACTATTCCTCCCCCCACTGACACCAACGATGGGGCACTATTCCTCCCCTCACTGACACCAACGATGGGGCACTATTCCTCCCCCCACTGACACCAACGATGGGGCACTATTCCTCCCCCCGCTGACACCACCAGCTTTTACTCGAGTCAATCGTTTTTTCCCAGTTTTTTGTGGTAAAATTAGGTACCTCGGCTTATATTCGGGTCGGCTTATACTCGAGTATATACGGTACATTTTTGTTTTTCTTCCCATGAAAAATAGGCATCTGAATACAAGAAAAGACTTTTCAAAGCAATGTGGGAATATTTTTTTTAAAGCTGAATATTGTCTAAAGACAGGAGGCATGTGTATTCATGTTTGAATCTTGGTGTGCTTTGTGTATTTCTTCCAGATCTGTGCAGTTTCTTGTAATGAAGGTCAGTGACTGCTGACCATCCATTCATCTCCTTGTACAAGGTGACAGGTCTCACATGCACCCCTAATGTATGTTCCTGCAGGTAGCCTGTAGTGGGTGAAGCACAGGGATGATGTCACTGCTACGTTTACAAGTGCTATCTGGTTATGCAAAATAAATTTATGCACACAAAATGGAATTATTTCCTTTGTGATTATTGAGGAATATGAACATGTTTGTGTCCAGAGTTCAGCTTTAAAAAGTTATTTTTTTCAAGCAAAGTTTTTAGGGTGGAACATGTACCATATCTACAGCCACGCCTGCTGCCCCCCTCCCTCTGACAAATAGTACCAGGAGAAGTGTCCCCTTACTATCTGTCAGATTTGAAAACAACGTGGACATGCGGGGCTCCGCCCACACGACCAGGTCACTCATTCAGAGAGTTCTGTGAATGAGTGCCTATATGTCCCGGCAGCCTTAGCGGCTGTCGGCTTGTAGTTTTCAATGAACTGTTCTGTGGTCCAGCACTGGTTCCCTTTAGGGTTCAACACATTCCTGTGAGTCTAACATTAGCTAGTTGACTTTAACTAATGGTCCACTTTAATTTAATCCCTAGTAAAAGCCTTAGGAACTGATTAGATATGCAGACTCCTCCTCCATAGCAGTGCAGAACACTAGTGTGCTTTACTGTTGCTATGTTGGTGCAACCAGTCTGCTCAGCCAGGCTGAAAATATACGAAAAATCTTGACGTTTGATCTTTAGGAATGATGAATACACTTCCTGTTATGTCGACAACCACTAAGGTTATGTATTGCCATAACTATTTTCATGACTTTATTATTATATATATATATATATATATATATATATATATATACACAGTGGGGCAAAAAAGTATTTAGTCAGCCACCAATTGTGCAAGTTCTCCCACTTAAAAAGATGAGAGAGGCCTGTAATTGGCATCATAGGTAGACCTCAACTATGAGAGACAAAATGAGAAAAAAATCCAGACAATCACATTGGCTGATTTGGAAAGAATGTATTTGCAAATTATGGTGGAAAACAAGTATTTGGTCAATATCAAAAGTTCATCTCAATACTTTGTTATATATCCTTTGTTGGCAATGACAGAGGTCAAACGTTTCCTGTAAGTCTTCACAAGGTTGGCACACACTGTTGCTGGTATGTTGGCCCATTCCTCCATGCAGATCTCCTCTAGAGCAGTGATGTGTTGGGGCTGTCGCTGGGCAACACGGACTTTCAACTCCCTCCAAAGGTTTTCTATGGGGTTGAGATCTGGAGACAGGCTAGGCCACTTCAGGACCTTGAAATGCTTCTTACGAAGCCACTCCTTCGTTGCCTGGGCGGTATGTTTTGGATCATTGTCATGTTGGAAGACCCAGCCACGTTTCATCTTCAATGTCCTTGCTGATGCAAGGAGGTTTGCACTCAAAATCTCACAATAGATGGCCCCATTCATTTTGTCCTGTACATGGATCAGTCGTCCTGGTCCCTTTGCGGAGAAACAGCCCCAAAGCATGATGTTACCACCCCCATGCTTCACAGTAGGTATGGTGTTCTTTGGATGCAACTCAGCATTCTCTCTCCTCCAAACACGACGAGATGTGTTTCTACCAAACAGTTCTATTTTGGTTTCATTTGACCATATGACATTCTCCCAATCCTCTTCTGGATCATCCAAATGCTCTCTAGCAAACTTCAGACGGGCCGGACATGTACTGGCTTAAGCAGGGGGACACGTCTGGCACTGCAGGATCTGAGTCCCTGGCGGCATAGTGTGTTACTGATGGTAGCCTTTGTTACGTTGGTCCCAGCTCTCTGCAAGTCATTCACTAGGTCCCCCCGTGTGATCCTGGGATTTTTGCTCACCGTTCATGTGATCATTTTGACCCCACGGGGTGAGATCTTGCGTGGAGCCCCAGATTGAGGGATATTATCAGTGGTCTTGTATGTCTTCCATTTTCTAATTATTGCTCCCACAGTTGATTTGTTCACACCAAGCTGCTTGCCTATTGCAGATTCAGTCTTCCCAGCCTGGTGCAGGTCTACAATTTTGTTTCTGGTATCCTTCGACAGCTCTTTGGTCTTCACCA